CTGGAGGGGCGGCTGGCCCGGCCCCAGAGGAGCGGGGGGCGCGGAGCTGCCGGAGGCGGCAGAGACCGGGCCCCGGGGCAGCCCCCACTCACCGTGCTCCGGAGCGCGGGGCCCGGCGGCTCGGGGGGCAGCAGCTCGGCGCGGTGCTCGGCGCTGTCTGTCCCGCTCTCGGCGCGGCGGACGTGGGGCGCCCGGCGGATCCCGGACAGGAGTCCCGAGGCTCTGCCCACCGAGTAGGAGCTGGGTCCGGCCGCCTGCTTGTACCACGCCTGGGCGGGCGGGCCGAGCAGCGCGGCCAGGGCGAGGCAGAGCAGGGCGCGGGTGCGGGCTCGCTGCATGGTGCCGGCGGGGTCCGGCGGCGGCTCCGACTGAGGCGCTGCCATCGGCCGCCCCTTATAGCGGCGGGCGGGCGGGCGGGGGAGGCGCCTGGCGCGGCGCGGGGCTCCGCGGAGGCGGGGCCGGGCGCACGTGGGGGGCTCCGCGGGGCCGGGTCACCGGGGCCCGGCCGGTGTGTGGGGCGGGCTGGGCGGAGCCCGCCTGGCCCCTGCGGGCGAAGGGACCCGCCGAGCCGGACGCGCCCGGGACCCCGCTCCGCTCTCGTTGCTCCCGGGGCTGCGGGGCGGGAACGTGGCTGCGAGAAAAGCTGCGAACGCCCCGGGCTGGGTCCGGCTCCAGGTGCCGCCGGCGTGGCGGGAAACACGGCCAGTCCCTGCCCCACAAGCTGAGCTCAGAGCCCCAGACCCCTTTGCTGCAATGCCCCTGGCCGGGTGCCCGGGGCTCGCTCCCCCATCCCCGCAGGGCGCCGGCACAGCCTCTGAGCCCGGGACGGGGCTGTCCGGGCCCCCCGCCAGTAACGTGCCCCCCGGGCTGGGGGTCGGTAAAGTCAGGTTACCACCCGCGGCTCCCTGGGGCGATGACCTGCCCTCTTGGGAGCTCCCCCCCCCTTCTTTCATTTCTTAAGCTGCGCTGCCTCCAACGGGGGGCTGGAACAATGTCCCTTGACTGCCCCCTCCAGAACCCCCCTGCCCCTTCTCCAACTCCCTGGCTCCCTTACCGTGCCGCTCCGCAGCACACTCCAGGGGGCATCTGGACACAGCCACAACTGTCTCAGAGGGCCTGGGAGTGGGGAGACTTCAGAAGACATTAATGGGGGGGACCCCCCCAAGGCCTCTAACCATCATCTGTCTGGGGCTTTGTTTTTTTTAAATCTTCCCCAAAATCTGTCCCCCAGCACCAGGCTGGGCACGGCTACTGCTGCCAGGCGTCCTTTCCATCGGTCAAGTACCCCGCAGTCACCCTCCCCCTGCTCCCGCTCCGTTCCAGCGAGGGCACGACCAGCGCCCCGCGAGGAAATGGACACCTGGGCTCCGGACAGGAGCTAAACTCTCTGTTTTCCCTGCTGCGGGGCGGTTCTCTCCCCCCTGCTGTGCCCGGCTCTCCCCAGGGAGCGGCACGCTGGGCAGCAGGGGATGGGGAGGGAGGGAGGAGCTCTAGAGCTGCCGGAGGCCGGCCGCCTGGCCAGTGATTTGAAGCTGCAGAGGAAAGGAGCGGGGAAGGGGAGGAGAGGCTCTGGCTGCTGGAGCACCATGCCAGTGGCTCAATCCAGCCGGCCGCCCTATCACCCGCGCCATGCTCTGCGGGGGGGAGGGAGAATGCCGGACATTTTAAGATATTTACAAATTCCCCCCGGACGCTATTTTTAACCTAAAAAGCCGGACATGTCCGGGAGAATCCGGACGAATGGTAACCCTACCCATGCCTCCAACCTCCCCCATCTTTCCCCAGCTGCCCCCTACACAAGGAAGTAGCCCCCTTGCAGACGGGTCACTGCACTGGTGCTGCTTGTGGTGATGGCACACATGGTTTCTGGAGCGTGCTAAGCACCCGTGTGCTGCTGTGCCCCCCTTGTGCCCCCGTTTGCACTAAGTGAATGGCGGGGCGAGGCGAACAGTTAGTCACCAACGTCACTGTTGGCTGGTTTCTGGTGCCCTCTAGTGGATCAGACAGAACCTGTGTGTGCGCATACAAATGGCCGCCTGAGAGAGGGCACAGCATTGAACTAGGACAGGGGCGGGCAACCGTTTTGGCCCGAAGGCCACATCTGGGTGGGGAAATTGCATGCAGGTCCATGAATGTAGGGCTGGGGCAAGGGTGTGGGAGGGGTGCAGTGTGCCGGTTGGGGCACAGGAGGGGTGCGGGGTGTATAGGGGGCAGGGGTGCAGGAGGGGGTGTGGAGTGCAGCAGGGGGCTCAGGGCAGGAGGTTGGAGTGCATGAGGGTGTGGGGTGTGGCAGGGGGTTCTGGGCAGGGGGTTGGGGGTGCAGGAGGGGGTTGGGGTGCAGGCTCCAGCCGCTTATCTGGAGCGGCTCCGGGGTGGCAACGGCGCACAGTGGAAGCGATCGGCATCACATCCCTGAGGGTACCTCCCCCGAAGCTCCCATTGGCTGCGATTCCCTGTTCCCGGGGTCACAGGGACATGGTGCCGGCCGCTTCTGGGAGCGGCGCGGGGTCTGCGGCGCCACGGGGGTGGCAATCCTGTGGGCTGCAGTTTGCCCACCCCTGAACTAGAGGCTTGGGACTGAATAGGTGAGGGGTTTTACAAGCTGCACTCTGGTTGGCTCAGGTACCAGGCCGAAATGGGAAGCCACTCTATAGACTCTTGGTCCCACTAATTGATTCCCATTGTGTATCATTCTCCCCTCCAGAACCCCACAAAGGGATCCTTGTGTCTTTGGTTCAACCATCCTTAAGGGGACCCATTGTACTCTCTGCCCCCACCCACTGCCCATTTAATAAAGGATCTCCTCATGTCACATTTCCAGGAGAAGTCCTTGTTCTAGACTGATAAGCATCCATCACATGCCAGGTTCCACACTAAGAGGCTCCCATTATACATTCCACCTGGGGGTGGCCTACATGGCAGAGAAGACTGACAAACCGGAGAGGGATTTTGCCAAGGATGAAGCATCAAGCACAGTTGGTCTGTAGGACGTGAGCAACGTGCCAGGCTAGTGCAGGGCCCCCTCCATAGAGCAGGGACAGCTAGAATGGCTAAGTTAAAGCCACGGGTCACATTCTGCCACCTTGCTGCACATCTAGGGAAAGTCTTTGTTGATGGCATGACAACCACCTTTCTCTGCTGTTTGTGGTGTGCTTGTGGGTATCTGACCAGCTCTGGAGACTCCCCGCTTAGCTCAAAAGCATGAAGAGAAATTAATCACAGCCATGAGTTTATTGAAACCAGTCCAGGGATTGCCACATTACAGCTGGAAACTGACTTATACGGTTGGCAAGGGGTCTAGTCCCAAAGCAACTTGGGTTCAAAGAATTTACATGATTCTGGTGCTGAACAGCACACCTGACCTGTGGGTATACCTCTGGTTGTGGTGGGAGGCAGGCCCCTTATCCTATTGGCCACACAACAGCCTTCATTTCTCTACTGCTGTATTTGAAGGTATCAGTTCAGGGCCCAGCCTGCCTGTGGTGCATGGGGGAAATGGTTGCCAAAGGCATTAGGAGCGGTGAGCCTGGATGGAGAGCTGCATATGGCCCTAAGAATCCCATTTCAATTAAAGAAAGCTTTGAGATGACATGACCATCTCTCACCAGTAAGGTACAGAATACCCACATCACTGGATAGTGGTGATTTCTCAGGGAATGGAGGGAGGCAGGGTCAGGACAGGGCTGAGAGGTCTCTTCAGAGAAGAAGGATGGGAAGGTTCCCATGATGCAAGAGCTGGGAGAGGTTTTATTTAAACAGGAAGGTCCCTTTTAGTTAAGAAAGAGCTGGCACAAGAAGCCAGCTTTTCAAAGATTCTGAGCTTCTGCTGACTTTGGGTGGAGTTGCGAAGGATAAGCACCTCTTAAAAAAATCAGGTCCAGGGTATTTTAAAGAAGGCACCCAACCCACAGACCCATGTCTGCATTGCAAAAGGAGCCATTATCATAAAAGGGCCAACATGAGATGTACCCAGGCCAACCCCTGGCTTTTTACTGAGGCCCACATGTGCTGTGTAGACCTTAAGGGCACAGAGAAAGTTGAAATACTGACTGTGCCCAGGATGAAGCAATTAATAATGCTGAAAACTTTGACAGCATGTGGAACCAGCATCATGGTGGGAAAGGTTAACATGCAGATGCTTCCAGTCATGTCTCCACTGCTCCATCTGCCCCAGGCTTCCTTTTTGCCTATGATGAGTCAATTATTTGGGGGCAAGAATTATCTGCTAAAGTTCTCTATAAGGGCTGGGGATATATATGATGCTGTATAAATAATTCGCTGTTCCAGGGTGTGGAGAGAGGGGCTGAATCCCAACAAAACACTATAACAACAGCCCATTAAATCCAAGTAGATCTGCTGGTTGCAGGGGGCTCTGTCACTCCTTGAATTTCCACTCTTGCCGGCACATAGGACAGTGCTGCTGGACTTGCTGTGAATTCAGCCACTTGAGAATGCAGTGCATGTGGAAGCAGTGGGAGCACTGCCCCCACACCAGGGGGCAGTCATCTCCAGGCACCTTACCTACAAAGGGACAAAATTTATGAGGAGAGAAGGGAGCACCTGGGCTGAAATACTGCAGGGGGCAAGGGGCCTGGGTTACTCACAGTCTGGGCAGCAGCCATTAAAGGCCATCCGGCAGATGCCACAGTTCTCATCATTGGCCACCCAGAGCCAAGAGGCTACCCCATTCCAGCTCTTTATCTTCACCTTCATCCTGGCCAGCTGTGTGCGTCAGAGTCAAGTCAGCACCTGGCAGGAGAAGCAGTTGCTCAGATTGAGTTTAATTTCTAATCCTTTGGTTTCCCAGCTGAAACAGCTCATCTCCCCAGGGGCAATGCAGCCTCCTTTGGCTACCAGCATTGCTTCCTCCCCATGGCAGTTCAGAGTGGGATGTGGATGGGTTGTTCCCTCCCCCACAGCTCAGTGGTTACTAGTGAACCTCTATCCTCAGGAGCCTCTCATCCCAGATCCTCTATCCTGGTTCACAAACACCCATTTAGTGACTTTGCCCCATCACTGGGCATATCAGGATCAGCACCCCCCACTTTACAGATGAGGAAACTGAGTAACAGTGAGAGGAAGGAATTTGGTCAAGGTCACGCAACTGGTCTGACTGCCAGTTCCATGGCAGGAGAAGTAGGAGCCTAGGCCTGAGACCCTGCCCTTATAATCCAGGCTTCCTCGCTGCACTGCTGGGAGGACCTGGGCACCTTAGTCCTTCCATGGGACGGAATGAAAATGGATCCCAGCAGCTCCTATTAGCATGTCACGTGATTGCTTCCTGCCAGGATCAGGGCTGAGAGGCCTCCCCGCACCCCCAGGGAAAGGGGCTGACACGCGCCTAACGGGGTCCCCCAGAGCTAGGGTGAGCAGACAGCCTCATTTTATTGGGACTGTCCCGATATTTGCTTATTTGTCCCGCGTCCCGACCTACCGCCAGCTTCCCCCCCCCCCGCGTCCCGATATTTCACCTATGTGATCTAGTCACAAAGTCACCCTACCCAGACCTCAGCACAACCCGGAACCACCGCAAGCTGAGGGAGCCCCCTCCCCCTCGGGATCTCTCCGGCCCCGCCCCCTCGGGATCTCTCCCCCTCGGGATCTCTCCGGCCCCGCCCCCCTGGGGACCCCTCCCCCTCGGGATCTCTCCGGTCCTGCCCCCTCGGGATCTCTCCGGTCCCGCCCCCTGGAGCCCCTCCCCCTCGGGATCTCTCCGGCCCCGCCCCCTCGGGATCTCTC